TACCAATCTCCCACGACACTGTTGACATTGAACCTTCTGGGATGTTGACCCAAGCACCGAATACCACATTTGAACCAATACTGGCAAGGTCGCTTAGAGCGCAAATGTGTAAAAATCGTTGCTGAAGCTCCCATTTCCCTTTCTATGTTTTTCGGGATTGGTATTTGATTCTTCAATACCAACATTGAACGGTCATCACCAGCTCTCAGTGTTACGCGCCAAGTTTGAGTTTCGAGTCGAGAAAAATGCCACTTTGAAAGTGTTTGTTTTGTTAAAGTGTATCAAAAAGTAACAACTTTTCAAACTGCAACTCTTTCCAGCATATTTCCAAGTAATTGAAATGCACTGGACACGCGTAAATTAAAACAACGGGTTTTTGCGAAACGATCTTGAATTTCTAGCCGAAAAAATGTTGTGTGATTGTGAATAATGTGAGATTAGGTAATGTTTGCAAAACTGATCGGTTCATTGAGTCTGGATCGAGAAAACAAAGAAGTATAAGGTTCACTGGATATCGCGGCATGACATGAGGGCGGGAAGCGTTTTTATAACCAGCTGAACGCAGTGTCCTTCGTGGCTGTGTTTATAGGTCGAGTGGTTGCGTAAACAATGAGAATCTGTGAGTGCGTATGGTGGGTGAACAAGGCTACAAGTGAAGCGCTTCACACAAAGCCATGAAAATTGTTTGTAAACGTTTTCGCCAGAGGGGAGAATTCAGGACCCCATTACCAGTCTCAGTTTTCTACACACTTGACCCGCTTGCCTCCGCGATCTTATAATTGTGTTCAGTATTTACTAGAAATCTGCCATTTGGAAATTGGAATAGCGGACACGTTATCCACTCGTCACATACTTTGTGATCATCAAACGTAGTTAATTTTGTTCTCGATGGTTTTTCCAGCGAAGTAGAGAGATTAGATTGTAGAGAGACTGTTCAGTGTCGTAGTGGATTTACATTCATCCCGGCGCTTCAGAAATGCCCAAAAAGCAACCAATTCCGCGTTTTTTTTCAGATAACCGCCAACGGGACAATATTTGCAGTTGGTCCACTCGACCGAGAGATGACGTCTTCCTACTTGCTAACGGTTGTGGTGCGCGATTCCCCGTCCCCACGATCCTCCGACAACGTGCTCAACTCAACCGCCAAAGTTCACATCACCGTCACCGACGTCAACGACCACTCGCCGGAGTTCATATTTCCACGCCTAAACTCCTCTGCGGATTCGCTTCCAGAGGTAATTGTTGAGTTTTGCCAGCTTATGCATGTCGAGCATAACCTTGACCTAAAGGATTAACATGGATAGAGCTGTCAGTGGGGCGTAGTGGATGACTGGCCCACTAAGTGGCGGGTGTCAGCCAACAAGAACTGACGTAAGTTTATTCTATGACCGATGCAAAGCGCCAGACTCAATGCGGATTTGCTCCGTCAACATGCGAATCCCTCTCATGCGTCATTCAGTGCTGTCCGCGTTTCAAGTAAAATTCACCCGATGAAGCCTTGATGAAGGTCGCTGCTTTCTTGTAGATAAAAATATCCTCTCTGGAGCCCGTGGGACATCGGATCGCAAAATTCCAGGCCAAAGACTCCGACATTGGCCTAAACGGGGTCGTTCGGTACACCCTGGAAGGCGACGCAACCGCCGACGGGGTGGGAAGACTGTTCCATCTGTCGGAGGACAGTGGCGATTTGTTCACTGCGGCGAAGCTCCCCACCGCGACAGAGGCAAGTTTGCATTCAACGCAGATGTTCTCCCATTTCCTTGCTCCACGCACTTAGAAATTACTTCTTTAAAGGTTACAGAAAATGGGTGCTGAATGTGTTGGGTTTATGACTTAGTTTTGGCAGATTGTTTAGCAAATTAATTTCGGATTAAAAAACTAGAGAACAGCGACCTTAATCTTGGAAATGTTGTCCATCGTTTTCTATGACCTTGCACCATCTCTCGGGTAACGTACGAATACCGTTGCGAAAGGAACTTGCAGGCTTCGACGCGATAGAGCCACCGACGAATTTACGCATATCGCCTGGTGAATGTGTCGCGTGTGGGAGAACTTCACATTCCAAGTTCAAGAGGGTCTGCTGAGTCGCACAAGCAATGCGATGTGGTCGAGCGATGTCATTCACCACCAGTAGCAGCAGCAGTATGACTTATCTGGCCCCTTCCCATCAAGATCTTTGCTCAGTTTGTTCAGTTGTCGGTTGTGGCGTTGCGCCGTCACGGTCTCACGACCAACTGTTTCCAGGAGATCATAATCAAGTACACCCTTCATGTCCTTCCACCAGACACACAGGAGGACCTTCTTCAAGTGGACGGATGTCCTGTTTCGGCGTCAATGCACCCGATATCTACCCCCGA